TAGTTTAAATATGGCGTGTGTGCTTTTTTTTTTTTTGTCTCTGGTGTACGTCGTCATTAGATGTCTGTGGAGAGCCTGGTTTTCTGTGTGTCTAGTATGTTTGGTATGGTTTGCAGTAAATGCATGTATGAGAGGGTCAGATGGCTGGTGGCCTGCTGTGTGGGTTGCTATCCCTGGTTACCCGGGGGGGGGTGTAAGCTCTTGTTGGTCTGTCTCTGTGGTGGGTCTGACCTCTGCGGTAGATCTGTTTTGTGCTTTGTGCTCTGGTGTATGATGCTGAGAGTGCTGTGTATTTTGGTCTCCCTGTGACCCGATAGTGTGTGTCTATGTTGAGGGTAGGTGTTTAAAGGCAGGCATAAGGAACACAAGGTAAGAATACAGGTAGCTAGTGCCTATTAACTTTTGTACAATACCGTAGTCCGTGTTCGTATAGTCACCAATTAGCGTTCGGGCAGTCACTACTGGGTCCTGGCTGTGGCTGGCAGAGGTTCGGCAGGTAGGTGGCAGCCTGGTGAGCTCCTCGCTTGGGGTGTTGGGTGTTGTGCCTGATGTCCCAATTTTGGGGGTTGTGTTTGCCTCCGGTTGCTGATGTGAGGGTGTTATAAGGTCCAGCGACTTCCTCGATAGTGGGGAGTTTGTAGCAGGGCAGTGTAGTCGGGGCGGGGCGGTTCGGGCTTGTGTGGTGAGATGGTCTTGGCCTCCTTATACTGTGCTCAGGTGGTGGTGGTTGCTGCTTTTGCTTTACCCCTTCCCTGTGGGACAAATGGGGTGATCCTGGCCAGATCCCAGCTATGTGTCTCCGGGTTCCCCGGTGCTTCCCTCTCCTGTAGTTCCGCCGGTGGCAGTCCCAGTGTGGGCAGCAGTGCCGTCGCACCCTGGAGGTCTGAGACGGTGTACTGTGTTCTTGTGCAGTACCTGTAGTGCGCATTGTGGACGCCAGCGGTATGTTATTTGGTGCGTCCGGAGCAGGACAGTGAATGGTTGCAGGGACTTGCGCCATTGTAAGGTGGCCCCCGACAGGTCGACATAGAAAGACAAGTCCATATTTTCAAAGTTGTAGGTGGCTGACCCCTTCAGGGCTGCGAGGAGCGCCATTTTTGTCCGCTGCATTCTTAAATCTCACCACGAGGTCTCGGGGTGCCGCTTCTGGCGCTCTCCGGGGTTTAGGAATTCGGAAAGCTGCCTCTATGCCAATATTTTTGGCTTGTTTGGAGGGTATTAGGGTTCCCACGAGCCTCCTAACGAAGTGTGGGAGTTCTTCTGCGGGGACCTCTTCTGCGACTCCGCGGACTTTTAAGTTATTACGGCGCCTGGAGTCTTCTAGTGCTGCAAAGCGGTGTTCTGTTTTGGCTTGTTGTTTAAGGGCACTTATCTCTTGCCTGAGTTCCGCTAGTTCTTGGGAGTGTTGAGTGGAGGTTAGTTCTGCTGCGTCAATGCGGCCTACCAGGCCCGTGAGGTCTGCCCATAGTTGTGCTAAATCCGCTTGTAAGTCCTTCTGTCCGAGTCGCCCAGGTTCTTGTTTGGTTGCAGCGGTTTCTCCGTCGGTAAGCTGTTGAAGGCTTCCTCTGGGTAGAAGTCCCCAAAGGAGTCAGGAAACTCCTCGAGCTCGGCGGCCATATTGGGTCCATACGCGCTTTTCGCCTGTCGGAATAAGTCGCCTATAGTGGCCCCTGTTTTGGGTCGGTCTGGTTTCAGTTTCTTTGGTTTTCTACTCATTGCTATTGCGGGGAGATGGGTCTCTTGTTCAGAGGTTGGTGTCCCCTAAAACGGTTGAATTTCGTTATTTGGCCGCAGAGCCTCTCTAGTGTGCGACCGCTTTGTTCCAACCGACCTAGCTGCCTTTTAAACTGTACCACTACTGAACAAGCGCTGAATATCCTCGATCTAACCACGGCATCCATAGATAATCAGCTAGCATTAAGGAGGCTCTTTTCAGGGCTATTTACAATATTTCAGAATGTAGACCAAAAATAGCTGGCCTGTAAATAATGGAAACTCACTTTGAATTCCTAGCAAATCTCACTTTAGTAAATAGCCCTCTAAGTACCATAACAACTACAGCTATTTTAGTGTAAGTGCTGGTGTGTGGAAGTAGGACATTTCAGGTGTGCCTGTCAATTGTGGCATTTTAGATCAGGGCTATTACTAGTTCAGAATTTTAGGATCAGTGTCATGAATTTAGGGTTAGGGATTTTAAGATTTCCGATTTCTTCGGGTTACATTGAAAAGGTCTTTCCTTAAAATTCTAGGCTGTTGTAAGTTACAGAGAGTGTAGGTAAGTGTGTATTGATAGGCAAGTGAGACTGTGACAGGGCCATTATCTATGAATAAGCTGAGATATTGATTTTCATTGCCGGATGGGGGGGTATCATGTTAGGCTTCCTTTCCCATCCAGCATTTAATGTCGATTAATTGTATTTAACCCTTAGTGTCTGCATAACCTGCAATAGTTTAACATACTGCTCCACAACTACACGATGTAAATCGATATTTATCATCGTAAGAAGCGATTTGTTATTTAGAGAAATTGCTGTGAAATTCATTTGATTCCTAAACTCCTATTGATTTCAGTTTGTAGCAGAAATAAAAGGTGGCCGTACGCTTTAAAAGCAGCGAGTAAAGTCTTTCTTTCTGACTCTCCCCGCTGGTGTCAAACAGTAAGAATAATTCCCACTCATTATAGACTCTCTGCTATTACTAGGGGGACTCTGGCGGACCCTTGAACTGCCAGGCGGCTGACGGGAGATGGGAGGTCCATGGCATTGCCAGCTTTGTGTCGTCCCTCGGCTGTAATGCTCTAAAGAAACCCACAGTGTTCACTCGAGTTTCCGCATTCAACGACTGGATCAACAATGTGAGTATGAGTGAGGTTATGGAGTGTTAGGGGTTAACAGCAGATCGTGAGTGAGGTTATTACTGTATGGAAAAAGGGCAAGAGAATGGGGATGTGAGAGAGATAGAGGGGAGGACTGTGAGGGGGAGGGCGCACAGCGAGAGAGAGAGGGGGAGGGCGGAGAGAGAGAGGAGAGGAGAAGAGAAAGGGAGAAATGAGAGAAGAGAAGAAGCGGAGAAGAGAAGCGGAGAGAGAAGGAGAAGAGAAGAGAGAAGCGGAGAAGAAGGAGAGAAGAGAAAGGGGAGAGAAGCTGAGGAGAAGAGAAAGGAGAGTGAGAGAGAGAGGAGAAGCGGAGAGAAAGAGAGAAATGACGGAGAAGCGAGGAGAGAAAGGGAGAAGCGGAGAAGGAGAAGTAGGAGAAGAGAGAAGAGGGAAGAGGCGGAGAAGAGAAGCTGAGAGAAGAGAGAGAGAGGAGAGAAGAGAGAGAGAGGAGAGAAGAGAGAGAGGAGAGAAGAGAGAGAGGAGAGGAGAGAGAGGAGAGGAGAGAGAGAGGAGAGAGAGAGGAGAGAAGAGAGAGAGGAGAGAAGAGAGAGAGGAGAGAAGAGAGAGAGGAGAGAAGAGAGAGAGGAGAGAAGAGAGAGAGGAGAGAAGAGAAGAGAGAGAGGAGAGAAGAGAGAGAGAGAGAGAGAGAGAGAAGGGAGGGAGGAGATAAGAGAGAGGGAGGAGAGAAGAGAAAGAGGGAGGAGAGAAGAGAAAGAGGGAGGAGAGAAGAGAGAGAAAATGCTGTATGAACTATGCTAAGAATATCTATGTGAATGTTTAAAGGTCATACCTTACCGGTAACCAGAGCACAGTGAGAGATTGTGATAATGTGAACAAGAAGCAAACAAAATTCATGCAAAACAGAAGACACTCATGTTACAGTTAGCAAAAATTAATTATATGTCATTACTGTAAGAGACGCTGAACCATGGCTATTTAGAAATATAATCTATACGTCGGGTGCCCAAAAGATTGATGCCCAGATGTTGTAGAACCACAACTCCCATAATGCTTTGCATGTCTTTAGAATAACAAAGCATCATGGAGGCTGTAGTTTTAAAACAT